AGTTGGAGGTTGCTGTGAGCTGTAAAGCCACGGCACTCTACCCAGGGGGACAGCTTGAGGCTCTGTCTCAAAAAAAAAAAAAAAAAAAAGAACAACAACAAAAAAAGAACTTTCTGAGGCTAGGTGCAGTGGCGCATACCTGTAATCCTAGCCCTCTGGGAGGCCAAGGCAGTTGGATTGCTTGAATACATGAGTTCTAGACCAGCCTAAGCAAGAGGACTCTGTCTATAGAAATAGCTGGGCATTGTGGCGGGCACCTGAAATCTCAGCTACTTGGGAGGCTGAGGCAAGAGAATCACTTAAGACCAAGAGTTTGAGGTTGCTGTGAGCTATGATGGCACAGCACTCTACTAAGGGCTACAAAGTGAGAATGTCTCAAAAAATAAAAATAAAACTAGTTGGGCATTGTGGTGAGTGTCTATAGTCCCAGATACTCAGGAGGCTGAGGCAAGAAGACTGACTGAGCCCAAGAATTTGAGGTTGCTGTGAGATAGACTAACAGATGGCACTCTAGCCTGGGCAACAGAGAGAGACTCTGTCAAAAGGAAGGGAGGAGTTTGTCTCATCCTTGTTTCTAACATTGTCCTTGGCGGCTTTAGCTAATGGTAATAAGACAAAAAAAAAAAAAAAAAACCCAGCAAGTTTACACATTGGAAAAGGAAAGGCAAACATATCTATACACAGAAGAAATATTGTGTACTTAGAACATGAACTAGACTTCTGTAAAAAAAAGAAATCCAAATGACTTGAGGTAATTTGAAAAGGTGTCAATATATGGACAACTATACAGCCCAGTGTGCCTGGCATCAAATTCCTTTTTTTGTGAATGGACCATACTTCCCTATTTCTTTGTATGTTTTATAACCTTTTGTTGATAACAGAGCATTCTGAGTGTTGTACTGTGCTAACTCTGAGCCTCAAGCTATTGCCCTGGATAGGGTGCTGTGGCATCACAGCTCACAGCAACCTCCAACTCCTGGGCTCAAATGATTCTCCAGCCTCTGCCTCCCAAGTAGCTGGGACTACAGGTGCCCACCACAATGCCCAGCTATTTTTTGGTTGCAGCCATCATTGTTTGGTGGACCCAGGCTGGATTGGAACCCGCCAGCTCAGGTGTATGTGGCTGGCGCCTTAGCCTCCTCTTGAGCCGTAGGAGCTGAGCCACTAACTCTGGTTTTACCACTTCTAGGAGCTTGCTGATTTTTGCTTAGTGAGGGATGAGGCCATTTGTGACTTTTCCTAATGATTTTTGCAAAGTGCATAATCTTTATTGTATGTAGTCACTGAACTTTCTTTTTTTCTTTTTTTTTTTTTTTGAGACAGAGCCTCAAGCTGTCCCCCTGGGTAGAGTGCCGTGGCATAACAGCTCACAGCAACCTCCAACTCCTGGGCTCAAGCGAGTCTCCTGCCTCCGCCTCCCAAGTAGCTGGGACCACAGGCGCCCGCCACAACGCCCGGCTATTTTTTGGTTGCAGCCATCATTGTTTTTTGGCGGGTCCGGGCTGGGGATTCGAATCCGCCACCTTAGGTGTACATGGCTGGCGCCTTAGCCGGTTGAGCCACAGGCGCCGAGCCTGAACTTTCTCTTTTGCTATTTCTGTATATCTAGTTCTAAAAAGCAGGAGGAGAGTTCCTATCTCTTGAAATCTTCCAACAATTGCTGCTGCTGAGAGAGTTTAAACTAAGGAGAGTGTCTGTACCAGCCCCTCAGGGCACCATCAAACTTACCAAAACACATACCCTAACTTTTTGGAGGACAATGTCTTCACTGTCTGCTCTGGCAACAGCCAGCCACTGCAAGGATGTAAGCTGCTAGGGCCAGCACGCTGGCTCATGACTATAATCCTAGCATTTGGGAGGCTGAGGGGTAGATTGCCTGACCTCACAGACCAGCCTGAGCCGAAGGAACACCCCGTCTCTAAAAATAGCCAGGTGCTGTGGCAGGCACCAGTAATCCCAGCTACTCAGGAAGCTGAGGCAAGAGAATCACTAGAGCCCAAGAGTTGGGGGTTGCTGTGAGTGGTGACACCATGGCACTCTACTGAGGATGATCAAGGGAGACTCTGTTAAAAAAAAAAAAAAAGGATGTAAGTTGCTAACCATATGGTAGGGCTGATGAATGTAAACAGTAACTGGTTCCCACATGCAACTCATTTATATTTTCT